AGAGGGAGATTAGAGAGTACTTTGAGATAAAAATCAAAGTCCAATATATCAAAATTTATATGATGCAGGGCTCATGCAGTGCTTAGAGGAAAATTTATACTTGTAAACACCTATATTAAAAGTAGGAAAAATTTCAAATCAGTAATGTGAACTTCTACTTTAAGAAAATAGAAAAAGAAGAGCAAACTAAACCAAAAGCAAATATAAATAGGAAGTAACAATGATTACAACAGAAATAAATGAAATAGGGAATTAAAAAACAATAGAGAAAAATCAACAAAAGTTGATTCTCTAAGAAGATCAACACAATTTGCAAAGCTTCATCTAGACTGCCCAAGAAAAAAGAGGACTGAAATTACTAAAATAAGAAATAAAGTAGGGGCATTATTACATTGTCACTATGGCTTTCTGTGGTGGTAAGATTTAGTTTCTTTCTCTTCCTCGTTTGCATTTTTGTTCTACCAGTGGGTTTTGTTCTTTCTTGTGTATTTGTGGTAAGGATTACGATTTTTTGGATTCCAGATACAGGACTTCCTTGAGTATTTCTTGTAGGGCTGGGTGTGTGGTGACCTCCCACAACTTTTGTCTGGAAAATACACTATTTTCCTCTCATTTCTGAATTATGGCCTTGCTGGATATAGTATTCTTGGCTTGCAATTTTTTTCTTTTAGTATTTTGAATATATCATTCCGTTTTCTTCTGGCCTAAGAGCTTCTGTTGAGAAGTCTGATGTAAATCTGATAGGGGCTCCCTTATAAGTGACTTGATGCTTTTCTCTTGCTTCTTTTAAGATTCTCTCTTTGACCTTGAGCTTTGTCAATTTGGCTATAATGTGTCTTGGAGAGGATCTTTTTGGGTTGATTTTGTTTACGGATCTTTGAGCTTCCTGGATCTAAGGTCCATGTCTCTCCCTATACCTGGGAAGTTTTCTATTATTATTTTGTTGAATAGGTTTTCCATGCCTTTTCCTTTCTCTTCCCCTTCTGGAACACCCATGATTTGAATGTTTGTGAGCTTAATGTTATCTGCTAGTTCTTAGACTTTCTTCATTTTTCAAAATTCTTTTTTCCTTTTTTTTTGCCCCCATGGGTTATTTTGAAAAGACTTATCTTCAAGATCAGAAATTCTTTCTTCTGCTTGTTTTAGCCTGCTGCTTAAACTATAGGTTGTGTCTTTTATTTCATTCAGTCCATCTTTCAGTTCCATGAGTTCTGCTATTTTAAGGTATTACTCTCTTTGTAAATTTCCTCCTTCATATCCTGGATTTTTCTTTCTCATTTCATTATGTTGTCTGAATATCTTCTTATCTCAGTGAGTTTCCTTAAGATTGATGCTCAGAATTCCTTTTCAGTCATTTCAGTGGTTTCCATCTCTACAGGGTCTGGTGTTTTGAGAATTACTGTATTTTTTTGTTGTTGATATTTTCTTGGGTTTTTGTATTTCTAGTATCTCCACATTGATATCTAGTCATCTGGTAGAGCAGTTGCTTCTTCTATTACTCTGGAGTGACCTTTGAGGTGAGGAACATCCCTTTCTTTTTCCAGTCTCCTCTGGTGACTCTCCTGTGTCAATGCAGTCAAGCGTCTGGTGGGCTGCCTGCACGGCAGCTGTGGCTACTGCTGTGGTGTCCAGCTGTTTTTGTGGCAGTTGTGGCTGTGGCAGTGGCTGTGGTAGCCACCTCCATGGAAGCGGTGCTTTCAGTGTGCTCCTTACCTGCTCTGGGGTGGGGGATGCTGCCCTCAGCTCTGGCCTAGGACTCTGGGTATGCTCTGCTTCTTTCCTGCTTCCAGGCAGACGGGGCTGCCCTTGGCTTCTGCCAAGGACCCCAGGTATGCTCTGCTTCCTGCCTGCTTTGGGACAGAGGGGGCTGCCCTTAGCTCCTGCCTAGGACCCCAAACATGCCCTGCTTCTTGCCTGCTTCTGGGTAGAGGGAGCTGCCCTCAGCTACTCAGTAATCTGATTATTTCCACAGCTTAGGTTTTAGCTAACATTTGTCGAAGTCATTGCTCATAAAAACCTTATAACAATATTACCAACTCTCTGTTATATATGATAATAAAGGAAATAAAAGTATTTTTTTAAAAAGGGCAATTCCTCAATTACCCTTTAATTTAATTTAATTGGCTTTGAAGTATTTAAATATACTTTAATAAAGTATATTTAATTGGCTTTGAAGTATTATTCAGTGAGAGAAATATCTCCATTTTTATATGCACACTTAGACCCAAGATTTTCTTTTTAGCTGATTCTGTCCTGTTTGGTCCCTCAGGAATTTTCCCAAATGTACTGAAAGGAACATTTTATCTGTCTTGTTCTAAAACAGCCAGGACTCAATTCTAGTTTATCTAATTTTAGTGGTCCCATTTGTATTAAATTCACTGAATAATCTATCTTCTTCTGCTCTACCATGCCTTTACTTGACTCCCATTTGACTGACTTCTGGCATAATCAGAAATGCCTTCTTACATGTAAAGAAAGACAACCCAAGAGTCAGATTCAAAGGTTTCTATATTCTCAATTTGCCTATTTTCAAGCTTATCTCAGTATTCAATGAAGTTTAACATCTTGACTCTTCAGAAATTTTTCTTCCTCACTTTCCCTATGAAATCAGGGCAAAATCTATACCTCCCAGAACTGTGGCAAGAATTACATGAGAAAACAAAGAACCCAGCATATAGCCTGACACATGAGTGCTTAAGAGGCCCTCGCTGTACAGCCACTAGTAGTTAGTTCTCCTCTAACTTTGCTTCAGCTCTGGGGTTGCTCTAATTTCCTAATTGCTATCTCCACCATTCCTTTACAGTGTCCTCTCTCTGTACTCTTTCTTTCCTCTGAGTTTCCTCCATATGTTCTTCTTTTACTCTACCTTCTTTTCGAGACTGTGTGGATGGACAGACAAAAGTAAACCTCAAGAGACCTTCCACTCTACAAGTTCTGCTTGTTCTAACATATTCTGAACAACCTAACCAATTCAAACATGTCACTCTACTTCTTACCCTTCCCTGAGGAGTTTTTATCTTCAGGATGAAATATAAATTAATGAATTAAAATGTAATACCTTATTCTTCTGCTCTTTTATGCTGGGTTCTTTACTTTTTCTTGTGTAATTCCTAATCTAGTAATAATCAGCTGGGGGCAGCTGGCATACCAGCATTATTTGTGAGGCTCTTAAAACAACATATGTCTATCCTATAGTCCTTATTCCTGGAGAAGTTATACATATATTTAGGGAGGCTTGAAAAGTGTGATGTCATTCAGAAAATAAAATAAATTCTAGAGAAGAGGAAAATCAGGAGAGGTAGCTTTCGAACTAGGTCTGGAAAAACCATGTAGGATGGGACAATAACCATAGCAGTGTTAGGGAGAGTATAGGTGTGTGCAGGGAATGTTACACAGTACAGATTATCAGAAACAGAATAAATATATAAAGGTTTCCTAGTGGGGAGTAATATAATCAGAGATGTATATTAGGAAATTTGATCTGGCTGTTGTATATAAGATGAAGTGAAGTATGGAGAACAGGAGCCCAGATACTGATTAGGAGGCTAATGCAGTGGTCCAAGTGATAAATAATGCAATCCCAAGGTGTACAAAATGCAATTCATTACTATTGGTAAGTCCTGTGTCCATTACTACATTTTAAGTTTCTTGAGTGTAGAAACATGACTATTTAGTATATAACTTATGTTCTATGATGATGTCATATACTATGTAGAAACATGAGAAATAACTAGTAAAATGTCCTTTTATTACTTTAGAATACATACCTCTTCATTGGGAAGGGCTACACATTCAGGCTGTAGTGGTCTTGGAACTGAGAGGGCAGGTCCTGGTAGAGATACATTTGACAGACGTCTCTTTCTTACTCCACTACAGTTATTTGGAATCTTAAAGGCACATCGTTTATGATAATTTAATCCACAGCCTAAATATATTTTAAAAGGTAAGGTAAGATTAAAAAAACTTTACTCTTTAAGTGTGATACATAACTGGTGCTTCTTTTATTTATTTTCTCTGGCAGCAATATCTACTCTAATTAAGAACCCGGATGACAGGCTAAGTGGAAGCTAAAAAATTCAAGAAGAATAGAAAACATGTAGGAAAGTTTATTTAAAAAGTTACGTTACCAGAGCAGTGATTCTCAAAGTGTAGTCCCTAAGGCAATCCACCTGGGAATTTCTGACAAGAAACGTAAATTACTGGGTTTCACTTCAGACCTATTAAATTAGAAACTCTGGGGCTAAGGCCCAGCAAACTATGTTTTATGATGTGTGGTAAAATTTGAGAACTACTGGCTTAAAACACTGGTCAGCAAACTGTGGCCTGCATACCAAATCCTTCCCATGACATGAAAATTATATGAAACTCAAGTTTCAGTGTTCATAAATAAAGTTTTACTAGAACACAGCCATGCCCATTTGTTTACATATTATCAATGACTAGTTTCACACTACAACAGCAAGTTAAGTGGCAACAGAGACCATATGGCCAGCAAAGCCTAAAATAATTACTCTCTGGCTCTTTACAGACAGATTATTGACCCTCCACCTTAGAGGACTGTTTCTTAGTCAGAAAAGTACACTATCATCCTATCCCCTAGCAATTCTAATTCAGAACAACTCTGACAATTTTTTTGATGTGAGAGACTTAACTTTTTAAAAAGATAATACAAAAGTAAGGAAGTTAGTATTTATTGAGCCACTACTTTATGCCAAATATTTTACCCATATTACCTTAGTTAACCATTTACTTTTCACGAAACCAGTGGGGTAGAATATACTCTATAGAGAAATCAATCCTCAGAGAGGTTTAGTAAGTTGCCCAAGACTATGAACGAGTAGGTGGCAGAGGTAGGACCAGAGTCCCGATCACTCCAATTATAAATCCTGGCTACTACCTAGTCACCAACTAATGACCTTGGTTTTCACTAATAAAAGAATGCCAATGTAAAATCCTATTTCAAATGACTACAAAAATTTTAGAACACATACCTTCACATTTCAGTCCTTGACGTACCAATCCCCAGAGCATCTCGCCACAATAATCACAAAAAGTAGGAGCTTTGTAAGAATGTACATAGAGAGTATGTGGACGAATCTGGAAGTCTTCTACTGTGGCCAAAGCTTTTAAAAAAGAGAAGTATTAAAATAAACCTTATACTTGTAATTGTGATGAGATTAAAAACACTCACCATGTTCATTTATGTCAAAGTACACAGAATCATTTTGTCTGAAAGTTTCATTTGACCATAAAATAAATTATTTTCAGCATTTAATGTTGTGATTTTTAAACTCCAATTTAGGAAGTCCATCAGCTTCAAATAATTTAAGCTCCAAAAGGAGGTCTGTAAATCTCCAAAAGCATTTTCTCATAATGACAAGATTGCAAATAGCTGTTAGGTCTATTGTACCTAACTAAAAACTGTTTAACTTATACTACACTGGGAAATAGAACACTAAAGTAAACAAAAAAAACCCCAAAAAACCCAAACAAAAAAACCACCATGGAACTTAACCTCAATTTATAGCAATGTTTCTATGGAAAAAAGACACTTGATTCTAACTTAGGATCCCAGGATAGGCTGTCTGTTCTCCATAGTCCTAACAGTTAAGAGAAAGAGACGACTCTACCCTCAGTGAAAACTAGAACAGTAGACACAAGGACTTTTCTCTCACCTCAACCTGAAAGTCATTAGTAGATATCCCTGTGGTCTGATGAAAGATCCACAGCAAAGAAGGAATAGATGTGAGCATGATGTCCAGGGAGGGCAGGGAGTGAAGCCCCTTAGGAGTGAAGAGGAAGACAAGGATTGGGAAGTATACAAATGGTTTGGGGTTGAGGTACAGAAGATGAGTGATCAACGTAGGAAGGCTGGATGAATGCGAGGATCAGAAATATAAGGTGAAAAGAGTGGGGACTAATAGGAAAGGTGATGGTCAGAGAGGATCTCAAGAACATACTCAAAGGTAAGTTTGGGAAGAGGGAAAAGTGGTAGCAGAACTCGACCCAAGGCTGGCCAGCTTGCTTCCTTTCTTCCATCAGTCTTCCTTTCTTGCCAAACAAGGACTATTGCAGACCTACTATGTGCATTATTATGGCACTCTTTCTTCCTTCATCACACTCGTCACTAACAATCTTACCCACATGCTGTTGGATGAGATGAGATGAGAAATAGTGGGAACTAAGAAACAAGAAATGGCAAGAATGGGTAAGATGGGAGATGGAGAGAGAGGTAGAAAAATGCCCAATGAGAACAAAAAGGGAAAGAACATTTTTTTAAGCCATGGAAACAACCAGTATTGTAGTTTCCTCTTCCATATCTTTATTATTTCTCCTTTTTTCCTTGATTCTCTTTTTTAAACCTCAATTCTTTTCTTCTATGATCTTTCCAGAAGTGATGAAAAGGGAACAGAATTTCAGTATAATTGTTTTATCTCTTCAGCTCAGAGAATAAAAGTATATTCCTCTTTCTGTTCAATTGATAATTACTTTAGCTTAGCAACACTCAAGTAATTCACAGTTTATTTTCCTTTGTCATTTGTGATATAACCTTCCTGAAAGTAAAAATCATATGGTAACCATCATTATAGATGAAAGAAGTAAGCAACTATAGTACAAAGACCAAGTATAATTGAACAAAGCATTTAGTGCAGAAAATGAGGCTCTTGGGGAGGGGGGTTGAAACAAAGTAAAAGAAGATATTTCCTTACCTGAAAGAACAACTTCTATTAGGTCACCTTCATGTATTTCATCTGCTGAGGTAATCAGCTGCAAAATATTTTCTGAATTCATGTCATGGCGAAAGAGAAGAATTTTATCATACATGCCAAAGAATCCACACTCTGGAAACTGGGAAAATAGTCCTATATCAGTATACCCATAGCTTTCTGTTTTTATAAGTAAATGTCTCAATTTTATGAAAGAATTTTAAATGTAGTGTTTTAGCCTAACACTGGTAACAACTCTATTAATATTTAAAAGATGAGCCATGTATTCAAGCATCGGTTAATTTTAAAGTTCAAAAATAGAAAAGTAAACTTACAAATAAGTAATCTTTGGTTATTTTAAAACATATGTCCCTTAGAAATGCAGGATTTCTATTTTGGTTATTGATAGAGAATATAATCTTGAGCTTACTGCTTCTCTATTCTTGGACAGCCTGAAAGATAAGCAGTCTTTCCCATTCTCTAGAACTGCATTTTCCATTATACGGTTAGCTACCAGCCACAGGCAGTTATTTAAATTTGAAATAGTTAGAATTCAATAAAGTTAAAAGTTTACTTCCTTAGTCACTATAGCTACATTACAAGTGCTCGACTGCCACCTTGGCTACTGGCTACCATACAGGACAGCTCAGATGTAGAATACTTCTATCATCCCAGAGGACCAGTAATTTTCAAACTACAGTCACAAGAGTGCTAATTACAATATTTTTACCAAATGCACCTACAGCCTCTAGCATTTATTTAATATCTTCTTTAAGTCTAATCACTGTTATTACAAGCACACGATTCATTACAGTGCCTTTCTTTTCAAAAAAACATTTGGCCAGGGTGGAAGACCTGTAGATTTGTTTACATATGCCTTATGCATCCTCTTCCAAGGCTTCTACATTTTGCAATTATAGTGTCAAGATACTTTGAGGATTAGTACAAAGGACTAAAATATGAAGGTATGTGTTCTAAAATATGAAGGTATGTGTTTGAAATTGTATGAGAGAATTTTAATGTTTTTTTTTGGGGGGGGGGACGGTGGCTAGCAGTACAGGGATCTGAACCCCCAGACCTTGGTGTTAGTACACTACGCTCTAACCAACTGAGCTAACTGGCCAGCCTATAAGGGAATTTTAAATACTTGCCTTACAAAATAACTATGTTTAATCTTTAAATCCACTAAAAAAAAAAAAAAAAGAGATCATCTTCTAAACTACCCGTGCCGTGGTACATGCTGCTCTAGATATTCCAAAATTCTTCAGTAGATTTCAGAATTGAAAATGCTTATTGACTTATTTTGGCTCCTCAAGGAATATCCTTTAATAAACTATGCAGTATGTCACTGGCCTGCATCAAACAGCCTAATATGAACCAGTCACACTAAACTGTAAATGCATTTATTGCAAAGGTGTTATTGAAGATATATGGTTCACCTACTTTATATGGTAGCTAATCACAGAAACTAATCATGTTTTCTTATTTGCTTTGTCCACTGGAAAAAGCATATCCAAATTTGTAGTCTCAGTGTAGGATTGTAGGGCAATCAGTGTAGTATTGTAGGACATGTGTTTTAGGTGCACATACTAACCTAACCTCATCTTATTTTCTGGCCTTAATTTTCCCATTAGAAAAATCTTGTATATATCTCTAAAGAATTCTCAAAAATTTATTTATGTTAAATTATTGAAAAAATTGAAAACAATTACTTAATTAGAAAGATTGGAGTTTATTTGTATTTTTAACCTGAGTAAACAACAGGAAAGTACAGAAATATTTAGAATTTTTATAATACTAATTGTCCTTTCAATTTTTCAGTTATCAATAATATTTATAAAACTTCAAAATCTGCTATAACATATATCTAACAGTATAAGAATTCTCAACTGAAAAGACTAAAAATCTAGAATCAAAAAATTATTAAAATTTTATTTAAATTTTAAAATTAAAATTTTACTAAATTTTATTAAATTATAATTACACTGGAGAACAAAATATCCTCATATCTTAGCTGCAACAATTCTTAAGAATAAAAAAAGACTCCACATTCCATCCTTATAAAATCTCTAAGAAAATATTTGAATGAATAAAACTGATTTTAAAAAGTCACACTTCTTGCCTATCTGCTAAATGTAAAATATTGGCACCACGGTTTGTAAAGAAAACTAGTCGTTATCTTCCAGGAGCTTACTATCTAGTAGGAAGGGGGAAGTAAACATAAATATTATATAACATGATGAGACAAATGAGAAAATTAAAATATAAACAATATTCTAGTATGAGAGAATAAAAAACTAACTGGGGAGGTGGAGTAGAGGGATCCAGTATGATATTTGAGCAGAATTATAAAAAAGAGAAGCTGGGTTTCCATAGACTGAATTGTAAGTGTCATAGTTGAGAAAGTACAAGGTAAATGGGACAAAGTTAAGTGGAGTCTTATGATGGAAGAATAAGGTGGGGGACAGTTGGGTAGAAAGAAGGCTAAAATGCTCAGGAGGCCTGACTGAGGCCTTACTAACATGGAGCCAACAGAGCTGGTTCAAGCTTTGCCAACTACTAACTACAGCACCTTAGGTAAGTTGCTTAACCTCTCTACATCAGTTCTTGTCTATAAAATGGAGATAACAGTAGTACTGGCTTTATTGAGTTCTTGTTAAAACTAAATTACTTGATGGCTATAAAACCCTCCACACTATGATCAATAAATACTAGTGGTTCGTATTATTATTCTATATCCAAGAGGGAGAGACATGGGGTCCCAGAGCAAGACAGCAACATGATCAAAACTGCATTTTAAAAAGATAAGGCTGGGCCGGCCCGGTGGCGCACTCGGTAGAGTGTGGCGCTTGGGAGCACGGCGGCGCTCCCGCCAAGGGTTCGGATCCCATATAGAGACCGGTCCGCTCACTGGTTGAGCGCGGTGCGGGTGCGACACTGAGGGTTGTGATCCCGTTGCTGGTCACAGTACGGGCGCGACACTGAGGGTTGTGATCCCCCTTACCGGTCACGAAAAAAGACAAAAAAGGAAAGAAAAAAATAAAATAAAATAAGGCTGACAGCAGTGTGCAGAGGAACCAGAACAGGAAGAGATCCAAGTAAGCTCCTGAAGAAAGGCTGGAGCTGTCAGTCAGGAAAGTGGCATCATGGTATAGATTTTATAGTAAGAAAATAGACCAACGAGGAATACTTCTCTATAGAAACTATCTTCAGTAAATCATATGAATCATTAATACTGTTTTGACCAAACCAGAAGTCCTGAATAATGACAACAAACACATTAATGAGAGAAGGAAAGCAAAATCAAAATAATAAATTTATGGCTTGAAAAAATATATATAAAATAATAAACACATGACCTAATAAATGACAATATCAATATAAAATTGGTATTATTAAGAGACCCAAGAGCAAGTAAAAAAATTATAGGGAATATTAAGAATATTTAACATAAGCATTGTATATCAGAGGCCTGGAAAGCTGTTGGTGATGATAAAGAATAAAGTCATTTTCTAGGATAGCAAATGTTTTTATACTGTACTCATCTACATGACTGACAAGTTACAGAGTTCCTAAGGGGAAAACTGTAATAACTAGCCTGTGAAAAACGGATTTCTGCTATTCACTATTGATTTATAGGTGTATTTGGTAGGATGTTTAAGAATTATCTGAAAGCAAGAGTCAGAACTAAATGAAGTAACAGAAAATGTGGCTGGAAAAAAAGCAAGAGAATATTAAATACTGCCACTGAATATCAGGGAAACACTGGCTAAGTTTTAAAAACATTAGAAGTCTTGAGGCATGGGTATATTAAAGATAAACAAGGAAAAGAACAAGGAAATAAACCATGAGTACACACTTTAAAAGGTCTAAGCAATTATACAAAACAAACAAAAAAACCTGCTAATGAATTGGATATAAAGGGATTTACTGTTCATGATTTTTAAAAATTCACAAATTAGGTTTTCAAGCAGGAGTGAATCCCTAAAACAATGTCGCAACTCTGGCCATATATCAGAATAACCTGTGGAGCTTAAAACAAAAGATGCTCAGGCTTTGTCCCAGCTTTATGGTTAAGGTCTGGGGAATAAGACATGGTCACCTAAATTTTAAATTTACTTTTAAAATATTATTCAGTGTTTTTATCAAACTGGCAACATTGTTGACTCCACATAGGTAACTGGGCAGCGAGGGCACAGATTTTGACTACTGAGCAACTAATTAAGCACTAATAAATCTCCCAGAAACCAATCTAATATTAATTTAACATCAATTTTTAGGAAAAGTATTTGATTGAAGAGAAGAATCTCAATGATTCTGTTTCTATATACAGACATAAAGCACTACAGTCTAGATGAGTCAGTGGGAAAATTACTCAATGTGGACTTGAATTTATTCTTACCTTTCATCATTAATCTTCAACCTGGAACTTTCTGGATATGACATACCAGGAAAAGCTGCCTTTTTGACATAAACCAGAGCAACTTTTTTCATTCTCTTTTTTTCCCTGTATTGTTATTAGTTCTGATTATCTTTAATTCAAACTTTCTGGGACCTTCCATTCTAGTAAAGGTCCTAACGTGAATATCCAGCAGAAATTAATAAAAATTTCTTCTTTCAGTTTGAGACCCCAGATTAGTAATGGCTGCCCAACACTGTTTTGCCTAGACAAAAAATGTAGGAGTAAACAGTAGGATGTCACCAAGTCATTGCAACACAGCTGTAGTAGAAAGAATGGGGTAGAGAAAACAACACAGAATGACAACTCATTTCTAGAAAACAAAAGATACAGCTGGGGGTTTTGCTCTATTTTGGCAGAACCCCAAAATTACACACAATCCATGTCTACAGAGAAAACATATTCAAAGAATAGACCAAAATCACTCCTAAATTAGGCTACATAAGCAAACAGTCTTCAGGTCTAGTAACATGTAAATAGTCAAAACTCAAACCAAATGGTTTAAATCATTTAAAAGCAGACAGGCTGCTTTGTCAGAATAATTTCAATTTTGGTAAATACCATTATAACTTAAAATGAATTGCTGTTGGCCAATTTCCTTTCTCATTCCAATTACATCTACTTTGTTCATTCAACAAACTAACACAGTAACAGTAGCAGTAGCATTACAGTGGTATCTTCTA